ACGGTCTGGAGGAATGGTCCTGGGTCAATGAGCCCGGTCTATTTAAACTGTGCCTTCCCTGCTCTCATTGCGAAGTCTTGTTTTGCCCTTGCAGACATTTCTGAGCGTTTTCCCTGTGTTACCTGTATGACCTGTCTTGTGAACTAATAAAGCTGCACATGGATCCTAACGCCACTGCCTCTTTGTTACAGAGACCTGTTTTTGTCAGATCTCCACTGTTTCTGTTCGACCAGTTATATTTTAATTGCATGTGCATTTTTTTTATTTATTTAAACCTCCATTAACCTTTAAATGCATGAATGTTTCGCCAATCATTATATTCGGGGCTTTAGCGACCCGGACCTATATATACAGCACGGATGGATCTTTCTTTAACTGCTGCAATAGCAAAAAACTGGCTGACCTGCTTCTCTGCCGCTCCAGCGACGCAGCAGTTCCGGTTCGTTTTCCTTTGCCGCCATCCGGCGATATTAAAATAACTTCTAAAAGAGCAAATTGCCGTTGTTGCAAATGCCAAGCCGTTACGTTCGTGTGGGTCTCCCCGATGATGGTCAGGCGGAGTGCGTTTCCTGCTTGGGGAAATCCCATGCGGAAGCTGTGCTCACGGGAGCTATTTGTTCCCATTGCCAGAACCTCAGTCTCGCCTCTCTCCGCTCATGGATCGCTTTATTTTCAGAGAGGTTTTCCCAGGGACCTGTGAGAAAAAAACAGCGGGGCAGAGGGGTCGAGCGACCGGCTGAGAGCGAGCCCACATTGCGAGAACTTCAGTCTCGCCTCTCTCCGCTCACGGATTGCTTTCTTTTCAGAGAGCGACTCCGCCCCTCGCGCCCTCCCGTTTTCTTCCTTATATTAAAAACAGCAGGGCAGAGGGATCGAGCGACCGGCTGCGAGTGAGCCCACGTCGGCCCAGATCCCGCGTGCCTCGCTCTCGCCCCAGACAGAGTATTCCCCCGTCCTTTTCTCCCAGTCTGATCAGCGTCCCTTTGCTGGTGCCAGCGACCTGATCTCATTTGGGGGAAGTGAGGACGAGCTGCTTGATGACAGCATGTCATTGGCAGCATCGGATGCAGAGGAGCTGTTGGGCTCCACCCCCTCGCCATCGTCTGCACCCAGCGCTACCAAAGACAGGATGGATGCCGAGCTTCTCCGTATCCCCTCCAAAGCGGTTGAAGAGCTGGGTTTAGAGTGGTTTCTGCCAGAGGAGCCCTCTCGCAGCCGTCTGGATGAGTGGTTCCTTACAGGGCGCCGTCAGGCCCCTCACCAGCATCCCTCTCCGTTTTTCCCAGAGGTCCACGACGAGCTCACCAGATTGTGGCGCGCTCCCTAGTCCGCCCGCCTCCCTACTTCTGCTTCA